ACCCTCTCCCGAACAGCTCTTCTCGCCGCCGCCGCCAGCTCCGGCCCGGAAACCCAGAGGGGTCTGCTGGGATCACGCCTGGAGCGGGCGTTTCGAGATGGGGACAAGGCAGAGGCACCCGAAGGACGGGAGCTGGACTGCTTGGAGCTGTCCTCCGATCCCAAGGAGGTCTCCTCCTGTCCCACCTGCTCCTCTTCCTCTGACTCGGAACCCGAAGGCTTTTTCTTAGGTCAGCGCCTTCCCCGACCCGGCAAGGCCCCCGGAACCCGCCAAGCTGGGGACAGCGACACCTCCAGGAAACATTGCACCATTTGCTAGTGGCGCAGCCCGGAGAAGGCGGGGTGGGGGGTTGGGTGGGGGGGGGCGTTGTCTGTAACGTGGGCTTTGGTGGCTCTCCTGTAAAAATCCTAGACGGAACGCAGTCAGGGGGCGAGATGACCAACTTGAAGTGCTTCAGCCGGCGTAGTCTAATACTTTACATGGAGACTTTCTTGGGAAAGCCCATTCCCCTAAAGCCTAGCGTCCCCTGCAGAGATAGCCCCTCTCCCCCACCCCGCCCTGGACAACAATCTCCAGCCGGAGAGCCTCTTCCTAAGCCAATGCAGTAACGTATCTAGAGACCACATGGCGTGGTGCCCGTCTTGGCGAGCCCACGGTCTGGAGGGAGTCAGACTTGGAACGCGCGACCGGGGGGACGGTACTGCTTGAACGTGTTGCTTCTCTCGCGGAACTCTAAAGCGCGCCTCCTGGGAGTTCTCTTCGGGCCGACGGACTAAACTCGAGGGATGCGCCCCCTGCCGGCACGGGGCCTCAGCTGGCGGAAGTACGAGCCGGAAGTTGCGTGATCCGCCGGCGCCGGTCGTCCTGTAAGGTTTTGCGGAGCTCGAACGTGCTACTATGGCTGCCAGTGGGGTCAGTGCGAACTCTGTAGGCTCGGCAAATGAAGCTCCCGAAATTCCGGACAACGTGGGCGACTGGCTTAGGGGTGTCTATCGATTCGCCACCGATAGGAATGATTTCCGGAGGTAACCGAGACCCTGGTCCCTGCTCAACCCCGTCCCGAGTTTCCTTCCTTCGCCCAGGCTGGCGCCTCCGGGTTTTTCACGCTGCCTACGTTTCGGCTGCTTATAGTGGCTGTGGTTGTGCTTTGCTAGGTACTTTACTGGGAGAGTTCCCGTGTGTGCGGCAAAGCGATCTTTTCAGGCTTTATCAGAGAATCAGATTGTGACCCGGGAAGGGGAGACTACCACACACAAACTGGCTTTGCGAACCAGGACGAGTCCTTAATTGGTCTTTGCATTTGATCCTGTTAGACACAGAAGCCAACTCTGCACCTGCATAGTTTTTTTTTTTGCCCAGGAAGATTGCCCCAGAGTGGTCATGTGGTCTTTTTCTCCAGTATCTTTCTTTAAAGACAGTGACTCAGGGAGCCGAGGGTTAATGTAATGCATTCTTTTCCTAGGAACTTGATCCTGAATTTAGGACTTTTTGCAGCGGGCGTTTGGCTAGCCAGGAATTTGAGTGACATTGACCTAATGGCACCTCAACCGGGGGTGTAGTCAAATAGGTAAGCCCAACCAAAGTACTGTATATCTTGGAGTCATAGAGGCTGGATGGGAGAGGAAATAATATCTATTAGTTATTCACAAAATAGGAGAGTCTACAAAATGCTTGCATATTCCTAGCTAAGTGTGTTTCCAGACTTTGCAAGGGCTTTGTCTCCTATTTCCCTCCAGTGCTTTTGCATTAAAAAAAAGATTTATTTATGCATACAGAACTGGGGTGCAGGCCAGAGATGCAGGGGTGGTGAGAGGCTTCACTGGAGACAGAGTGGGGAGCAGAATAGGCAGATTAACTGAAATACACTGCTGAGCAGGGGGCAAGACAGGAAAGGTCTGGCACCCCATGTGGTTCACCTCCTTGGCTGGGGATTTCTCCATGCTGAAAAAGGCTGTGGCTAGCATTGTAGTGCTGTGCTTTAACCCACTGCTTCCCCTGGGAGGGCCCAGCTTTTGCATTTCTGATGCCTCCTGTTTTGTCCTAATTGCAGATACATGGAACCCCTGTGCTGTGTTCTAACCTTCCAAAACAGAGCCTCCAATATGTGACCCGCACTGACTTGTCTGATGGAAGCTGAATTTGACTCAGACAGGCACCCTTTCCCTGAGTCCCTTCAGATCTACACTCTGGTCAGCAGACTTCCACCGTAGTGGTGTCCTCTGTTCTGTGAAGTTCTGTACATAGTTCCTAAGTTTCTCCAAGGGGGTGCCTTTTGTTTTTATTCTGAGGAATAATCCTAATGGTATTTAATACATATTTGAAATAAAGATTGCGTGCAATGACAGCCATTTTATTTTTTTAATAAGAAACTTCAGCTTACAAAAACAAGGTGTAAAAAGATTTACAAAAATCATAAAAACATGATTTATATTTCACAATCAAAAGAGACAGGAACAAGCCCCAAACATGGATTGTAACAGGGATGGTTTGATTATATTAAATGAAAAAAAGGAGAAACTGTAGTCACCATACATAGATGTTAACATAGGATGAAGCTTATTCTTGAGGAGTTCCCATTTTTGAGCAGAACTAGGGAAGAAGCCATTTGGTGTTGCATAGCATTTTAGTGCACCAGGTGGGTTTTCCAGGTACCAGAGAGGCAGTGGTTGCCATAATAGAATGGGATTTGTTAGGAGAAAGAGGGCAGTTAGGTGCAGGTAGAGATAAGGTGTGTGAGTAAGCCTGGGTGATGGGCACTAAAGTGACAATGCTTGAAGAAGCTGCTTCCTTCATAAGGAAACATACTTTTTGACTCTTTGGAAATGGAAAATGTAGGAACTGACATGGGAATGTTCATGTAGGCTTAGAAAGATGTGCAGATGTAGAGGTTCTCCTTGGCAAGTTTCTCTGGTTTACTTACTCTGCTAAGCGTTTTTAAAACACTGCTTTTCTATGCCAAGTCTCCTATAGAACTGGTATGGGATTATTAAAGGACATGCATAGGAAAGGGTGGGTTGTTACAGCTTACATACAAATGCCTGGTTGTTATAGCTGACAGGTGCTGTATCTAGCATTTATTCACTGAGGGCATTAGGACAAAATATTTTTTGACCCTACGTGTATAAGAAAGCTGCTTGGGAACGAGACTTTAAGATGTTTTTTTTTGTTTGTTTGTTTTTTTTTAAAGCACCATTCTCTTGTGAGTATGAGATAACTCCGATTTGGTAGGAGGGAAAGAATCTATGAATTCAGGCCAGTGGCTGGCCTATTACAAAGCAGAGATCTTTAAGAATGCACCCTGGGGTCACAAATGCACAGGTTTATATCTTTGAGTGTTTGGATGGGGAAGGGTCACATACATGAGAGCAAGGCTTAGGTGAAGTCATCACCACCCCACGCCCCCTCATGGTGACCAGAACGGTATGACAGATTGAGGTCCCTTCAGACCTACATGAGAATGATGCTAAGACAAATAACCAGCACCTCCCTGAATGTATTCAATTGTGAACAGACGTATTTGATAAAATTGTTCCAAGTAGAAAACCAGAACCCAACAAATTAAGACCTGGCAAAAGTATAATTCAAATTTAACTCAAAAATGTAATGTTTTAGCTTCAAGTAATAGTGTTTTCTAGTGGTTTTTAAAGCCACAGTGCTGGTAAGGTAAAGCTGGCTTGGTTCCTTAAAGTGGTAAGAATTTTGCAAATACAGCTACCAAGTCTACAACTTCAAAAATTTTGATGAATAGTCATTCTGTTAATGAAAAGCTGGCTTTCACCATTTAAACGCACAATGTTCTCCTAAAGTTGTTTTTACATCCTGTCATGCCGGTTGTCGCCATGGTTATTTACCATGTAGTGCTATGAAGAGCTCTTACATGGTCTATTTACATTTTAATTGGGAACATGGCAGCAGAAGTATGTATGAAAGAAACCCACAAAATGACCATTTGCCTCAATGCTATAGAAATTATGATACATTTAGAGCAATATGTAGGTTGAATAAGCACACAAAGGTAAAAGTTAGGGACCAAGAGAATGGTTAATTTTAATGTGGAAGACAAACTAAACTCAAGTCATATTTAGAAGGCGCTTTTCTTTTCAGCTTTGGTGCTGACTTCAAAAAGGAGTCTGAACCACAAGGGAGATGCATACTTGCTGGTAAAAACTTAAGTGGCCATGGGAGGTTTTACTCCAAAGATACAACCTCCTCACCTAATTAGGCAGTAATTAGGTTCAAGGAACCAGTTCTCAAGTGTGCTTCAGTGGTTGAGTTTTTAAAATACCCTTTAGTGAAGTCTTATGAGCTCAGTGGAGACAGTTATGGTCAGAGTAACGGAACAGGCTGTAAACAAGCCCTGCAGGTGAGCAGACCGGGTTGCAGCCCCTTCTGCAGCTGTTTGGCACCACCCCAGCCGCACCTGCCAGGGAAAGAGCTGGGGGCTAGGGGAGGGTGTGGAGCCCTCTCCTCACATCACACAGTGCACTGGCTCACCTTACAAGTTAAAGGCTCACATATAGGGCTCTGTGTTCTACACCACTTCCTGAAATTTTGTGCAAAGAACTAATGAATACTACACTTCAGTAGGAACCGTTTGACTTCAACCATAAGTTGCCCAGCATTAGAAAACTAAAATGCCTTTTCAGAACATTTGTGCTCTCCCACCAGCTAGAAAAGCAATCCTTCCGCTCCAGTTAAAACCCCAGGCAGCATTTAGTCTCTGTGTAGGGAGAGAGCCCCTCCAGCCTGATTGGAAAGGCCTGTGTTAATTAATGTCTGGAACACACAGGGGTGGCGAACAGAATGCGATGCACAGTCTGCCTTGAGAAGCAGCCATCAGATGAATAATCAAAAAGATTTTGGACAGTACAGTAATATTTCAGGACTTGCTGGTAAGTTAATTTGCTTTCATACAAGAGATATGAAATGCTTTTAAAAAGTCTGACACCAAATCCTTTACACTGTACAGACCTACCTGCCCTTGACATGACCAGGAGTCCTTCCCTTTATCTTTTCAATCCCATGCAAACCATAATTGGGTACAAGGCACCAAATGTATGAATTGTATAAAATTAGTTCACAAAGCTTTATCGGTCAGTAAAACAAACTCCATTTCTTCCTCCCTGGCCCGCCCACCCACATCCCACCGTTCTCCCCCATTACCAACCAAGTTTTCATTCTGCACTACTGTCAACCTCAGGCTTACACGGGGGCCTGGCTAGGGGCCCTGCTCCACTGCCAGTCGACCCACACATCAATTCTTGCACTTGGATGGCACTGTAAGCACAGCCAGGTAGGGAACTCATACAATCTTACTCTAGAAGCCTTGCTAGTAAAAAGAAAAATAAACTCTGATATTGAGTCCATAGGACACATTAACACTTCTACAGTTTCCAATTTTATTCATGACATTTTAAGAGACATCTGGAAATTTTTTATAATGTGGCACTGCCCACCTCAGCCTGAGGGGTGGATCAAAGCTGACCAGGGCTCTGCCTACAATTTAATAAGAGCTTCACTTCCTGGCTATTAGGGGCATTCCCAAATTTTTTCACACCAGCATGGATGCTCATCTTAGAGCCAACCTCACGTTTGAGGGTTAAGCTAGATTGAGGTAAAACACCCTTTTTGAGCGCCAGGGTGCATTCATCTTGGCTGGCTAGAGCAGAAAGTAAACACACCAGCCAACTATGAAGGCTTCCTGGAATAGGACCCTAGCCTATCTGGTAGAGAAGGAGGCCTGCAAGTTTCAGTGAGATCTGGGCTTGGATTTGGCAGCATCTCCTCAGCTTCTACCTGGTTCCTACTTTCTTCTCCTCAGAATGTTTCAATTTAAAATAAGATGCAACTGAGGGACTCACATACTTAGGATGTAAATAAGTTAAAGGCAAGGGCAGTTTCCCTCACAACAGCCATCAGCTTCTGCAGTAGGGAATTCTAATAAAATCTCCATAAATACTAAAGCCTCAGCAGTGTCCAGTGCTGCCGCCTTTGGTTCCTGAGGCATCTGGGACTGCAGGGGCACCCTCATGAGTGTGCCATACCCGAGGGCCCAACACTGCCTTCTCTTCAGCTCACTTTGAGTGATTTTGTTAATTTGATTTGTGGGTGCTCAGCTACGTTAAGCATTTATTTTAAAGTCCTTAATCTGCTTAATAATCCTTATAACATTTGGTATAAAACTATTTTTAAAAATTAAATTTGAGGACATTTTAATTTTCCATTAAATGTTCACTTTTCTTAAATGTTTCCCCCAGACAGCTGGAGGGATGAAGTAGATGCTCTATTAAGTTCTCCACTTCTAAGTTCTCTTTTTTCTAGAATAATAAATACATCACTCAGTGAAAGATGAGGCACACTTTCCCTCCCATCCCTTTCATTTTTAGTCTCCTTATTTTTTGTTTTTAATTTACGGGCTTTTTTGTTGCCACAAAAAAAGTCATCACCAACATAAAATGCCAACATAAAATGCCAACATAAAAAAATGTGGATCTAGAGAATAGAGCTTCATACCAGAGCCTCTGGCAGCACAGGCAGCTGTGACACTTTAAAACAGTGTCCAGGAGAGGGGGAGCCCAGGCCATGCTTGTACAAAGAAGCCTGCAGTAGACAATATAAACCAAACAGCATAAAAAATGCCATACACTATCGCTTCCAAATAAAAGCTAAATATTACAGAAACCTCACAGTGTTGGAAAAAGCAAGTTTAATTTAAAATAGAGTCACTCCCCCTTTTCCTGTTAGGATAAACCATTTTCTATCTGAATTTCTTCCAGGTTTCAGTGCGGTATGGCAGGTCCTGTGGAGAGTTCATCTCAAAAGAGGTTTAGCAGCAAATGCTGCAGATCTCCTTAGGAAATGTGGCTCAACATCACTAAAGCTACGGTCCTCATTTTTCAGCCTCTCTTCCCAACTTCCCATCCCTCCCCAGATTCCCTTCCATATCTAACTCCCTTCAAGTGACCACTGTATTTCTACCTGAATTGAAACAGCAATATGGTATGCTCAGTCAAAAGATGAGCATCATAGTGACAGGCTGAGGCAGGCTGCTGCACCTCACAGACTTAGGGTCTGCATTACTCCGGCAAGTCTGAGAAAAGGATTAAAAGGGGTTAAGAAGGACAATTCCATGGTGCCTAACAGGAGGAGAATTTCTAACTGGGTAATTTTGTCTCAGTTAGAAAACCCAGTTTACAAGGAAAAGGTACATTTCACAGCCCTGAGTAAAGCACAGGGCTCTCTTGCTTTTTTCTCTGACAGACTGAGTGTGGGTGGATAAAGAAACAGCAGGAATGCTCAGATTTTGGAGGAATAGGCCAGGGCCATCAGCAAGAAACTGGTGGGGCAGATTCATAAACAACTCCCAGGCTCTAGGAAAGTAAAACCTCTAAATCTTGCATAAACAAGAAAAGTTTAGCCCTCCAGGTGTCAGAAAAAAGCTTCAGGCTAAGAAAAGTAACAAGCTGAACCAAGGTGAGTGGGTGACAGGCATTCACATAGGCCTCGGACCACCTACTATCCCTGCCTACCCCCCCCCTCTTCAAGCTTCAGACAACTGACCTAACTACCATTTAAGGCAAATGAGCTTGCCTTAGACCTGACCCAGGAATGTACGAAAGAACTGCGTAGTCAGCAGTGCTTTTAGGTTCGGCATTCACAAAGAACACGTCCTCATACGAACTGTTCCTCCTTTAGAACAAAGGAAAGTTGCCAGTCTCAGAAGACTTGGAGTGATTAAATGACAGTAGTAGCCAGGGAGTGTTATGACATGTGAAAAACCTTCCATTTTGCACAGGCAACTTTGCTCCTTGCATCTCACTCCACTCTTCAACCCTATCCTCTTGGAAAGGAAGTGTGCAAGTTTCCAATCCTCGAGGGTTATTTCCTTTGTAGGAACAAATCCTTAGCCTTTATCAACCACCTTGGAACCACTCCCATCCACCAAGTTGCCAGTCCAGGGTCCCTCCTCATGCTCTGTCCCGAGCTGCTCAAATCGGGAGGGTCCTGGACTGTGCCAAAGAGGTCCCGATTGTGGGCAACTTACACCTATGGGAAGAAAAGGCTGCTCTCCTGGCTGGATGTGATCAATTTACTACTCCGCCCTCCCAGGTTTAGAAGCAACTAATGAAAGAACCTTCATAGAAGCTACTCCACAGATTGGTTTTATCAAAGGAGGGAATTTTCAAATTCATTCAAAAGGAAGTCACTAATTTTATGATAGGATATGAGTCACCTGGTACCTTCTGCTCTAGACCCACCGAGGCAAACCTAGTCATCTGTTACTGCAGTAAACCTTATTTCCTATAACAGGAAACATGTACACACACAATAGTTTAAAAGCAAGCCAGTTCTTGACAATTGTCTCCCATTCAGGGGTAGGTCCGTGGTCTGCCCTCATTGTTGTTGCTAGGTTGCACCTGAGCTTGAAGTTGGGTTTCTGAGATTCTTGCATTGCCCTGAACTGTTCTTTGAGTGTAAAAAAGGATGTAGGCTTGAGTTTTGCACACTTCCTCGACACTGCATACATTCAGCTTTGAGTCATTGCAGTGAACCCAAAAACCTAGGAAACCAGAGGAAAGAAAGAAAATGACTGCCCAACATATATTTCCAATCAGCAAGCAAAATCAGAAGATGATGAAAGGACAGAGGAATTCTGAATAGAGCCAACCCTTGCTTACAAGTGTTGGGGAGAGACAAGTAAATGAAATTAAGAGATTTCCCTGTAACTCCTGGCCTTACCCCCACCCACCCCACAATACTACTTACTAGACCCATAGACTTGGAAGTTGTTTTTTGTTTTATTTGTTTTTTTCCAGTGCCCATTAGAGCCTTCTACAAAGACAGCCACGAGACTGGCAGCTAACAGATGGGAAGAGGCAGAGAAAGTGGGAAAATGTAAATCAAGGGGAGGGATAAGGAATATTTAGGAGGAATAAAGTTATTTGTTCATAGGCTCAATCTGGCTGCCCCAAGGGCTGAGGCGTTCAAGATCAGCACACCACTGAAAACATCTGCCTCAGTGCAGTAGCTAGGAGGCTCTGCTCTGGGGGGTCCTGTTGTCGGAGGGTGGGGGGGTGGAAAGGAGTGGGTGTATCTCATACATTCCATGGTCAGGGAGGTAGCAGGACTTAGCGCTCAGGCTCGGTAAATATTCTCAGCTTTACTATGAGCTGAGCCTAGTGAGAGTCACCGACTCCCTCCATGAGATTCATGGTCCCACTGTTTCTGCATGAGGAGAAAGAATCTGAGGCGTGTATCAGCAGCAGTGATAACAATGCAATCTCTGAGCATTACGTGATAGGCACCAGGTGCCAGTTCCATCTAGAACCATCTTGTATTGTTACTTAGTTCTATATCCAAAATTGGAATTCAACTTTCAGAATTCTTTCCACTGGATTTTAATGTAATATCCCCTCTAGCACCCATGGGATTGAAATAAAAGGCAAGCAATGAAATGTGGACAAACCAACCCTTTTCCGTGTCCCCCACCCCACAGAGTAAAGCGCACGCACCTCCCTCTGTGTTGTAGCAATAGGCTGTGTAGTGTCCTGAGCCAAACCCTTTCCCGTGATGCATGACCACTGCGGAGAGATCATAGGCAAAGGTCTCTTTGTCAAGAGAGGAGAGCATGTCCCTGCAGCAGTAAGGTTCCATGGTTAATACCTGGTCAAAGACGACATGGACCCCAATCTTCTCTCGATGATTACGGCCAGACCACCTAGAACATGGATATAAACTTAGACTAGTGAAAAATGGCATGTGTGACCATAGCTCTAGGGAAAACAGGGAACTGAGAAAAACTGAACCTTTCGGGGCTTTGGTTTTTACATCAATGAAACAGCCATCAATGTCGACATACATTTCTTATGAAATATCCCATGATGAACCCTTGACACTAGAAAGCCCTGAACAAGCAATTCAGGCAACAATCATTTTGTAGTTTATTGCCTACCCTTCTTTTCATAGATTACTTCATACTTGATCCTGAAGATGACTTTATGTAAACTCCAAAATAACATCCCAAACTTGAAGAACATCTTTAAGTACAGACACAGGAGCCAGCTAGCTGACTAAACAAGGTGATGGGATTGGAAGCCCAGTCTAGTGGGCCCAGATGGGCAGGAGGCATTTAATCTCTGTGAAAAGTGCAAGGTCTCCGAAACAGGCCTCTCTTCCCACCAACAAAGATACCCTCTCCCTCAACCAAAGCGTTTGCACCAAAGCGGTTCCCACCATTCCGAGCAAGCTCACCTGAATCTTTTAAGGTGCAGTCGGAGAACCTGAGGTAGTCTGTAGATCATTAACTGCTTTCTAGCTTCACTCAGAACAAGGGGTTTTGGGTTGGATTTTCGTCGTTTGCCTGTATGGTTTGGGAAAGTATAAGATAGGTTGTGAGGAGTCTCATTCTTTGCTAACCTGCAACGACAATAATTTGCATTCTCCTTATTCCTCAGTGTTTGAGCCTCAGTGCAGTGCAGTGCAGCACTGTGACCCCTGGTAAGGTTGCTGTTTCTCAGTGCCACAAACCCACGCGGTGTGGCCATGGAGGTTCTGGCTGAGATGAAAGGAATGACTGTTGTGGCAGCTTGGGAGAGCTGCTTAAAAAAGGTTGATGGTTTATCCTTTCCATTGTTTGCAACATCTAGAACTCCTCCCTCTGAGACCGTGAGGTACCCTAAGGATGGAAGCCTTGAACTAGCATGGTGGAGAACAGCAAGGAGTTAGGCTCCCTCATTGCCTGCCACACAGCTACCATGCCAACGCTGAATACCTTTCAAACAGCTTCTACATAGCTGGGGGAAAATTATGTTTAAGTCACAGAAGTTTGAGTTGACTTCTAAGAAAACAAACCTAATCCTGACACACCTACTCAATTTCTGCCATCAGCAACTTCCAAAATTAGTATGGGTTTAGGACGGTGTCATAGACTTATTAATGGAATATAATGGAAGGTCACTGCAACAATATACACATACAGTGAATGTATATGTTAGGATTCTATGCCTTTATGTATGTATAGGCTTGTAACTGAAATTATGATATATCAGTTTTAGATTAAAAGCATTTGTTTTCATCAGATAGACACAATTTTATTTTCAGCTCATAGCTATTTGTACACTACTGGTGAAGTTATTTAAAACTCTGAACCTCAGTTGCCTCTCCAGTAAAATGGGGAATGATACATACAGTTCAGGCTTAGGAAGAAGGTAAGACCCAGGACGAAAGGTGAGAGTATTTTTTTAAAGAGCATGATTTTGCTTGTGGATGTAAACATTCAGAAAAGACACTTTGCTGGTTTTAGATTTTGTGTTGTACCTAATTTTTGAATAAAAGCATACCACTAAACATGCAGAGCAAGGCAGACTGATTGTTCAGAAACACCCAGTCCAAAACAGAATCAGTGCTGAGACTCCAATTTTGTTTCTAAAGCTACTGAATTGTGGGGAAAATGCATTTCTAAATGATAGCATATAAACAATGGAATGAAGTTCTCTTAATTCCCATCAGGAGCGTTCTCTATAACCATTTACTGATGACTGCTCTGCTATAATATCAATTAAATCTAAGAATAGATGAGAATGTAAAATTAGTGGTCCACCGTGGTGCCTGCTGATTGATAACACGAGCTGTTGATAGGTCTTAGTGTCGGAAAAGCTTGCATCTAATTCCAAGGCCTGCCGGCACCACTTATGAAAGGTAGCAAATCACAGCCAGGTGACGCGTCGTGGTGCCAATAGGAAGTGGAGCTGCTGCTTCTCACACGAGGTTGTGGCAGACTGAGTGTGCGAGAGATGCTCTTACTGCGGCTGGCAGTCGTGATAGGTGGGGCACGAACACGCAGAGAATTCAAAGAGGGGCTGCCTTATTTTACATTCTGATTCACCAGCAGATTTTTTTTTTTTTTTAATAGAGCTCTGCTTGGGAACTGGCAGTGACTGCCACACTCAGCAGAGGGAGTATGTGAGCTAAGATGAAGACAATATAGAATCCGGCTTTGTTTCCCTAAAATGAAATTCACAAAGAAAAAGAAATTACTGATTCAATTGAGATTGATCAGTTCTGTCTCCGTTTGATTAATCTGGTCACACAGAGAGGTAGAAGACTGATTGTTTTGAAATGTCGCAAGCAATGAATGCATCTGGTCCCTTCTCCATAGCTTTCCTTCACTGCTACTATTTGAAGTTGCCTAGAGAAAGCCTGATAAAGTGGTGCATCTGGCAACCAGAAAATCCTTTCTTGCAAAAATAAATACAAGAATTTTTTGCCCATTCTATTATGTCCACAAATGATTAGGTTAAAGATGAGAACATCCTTCTGTTTTTTACAAGTTTAAAGCTTTATAAATCACTATTTAAAAAATAAACAGGTACTGCTCTAATTTAATAATTTAAGTCGCCACCTTTATATCTTAATATGGGACAGAATAGCCAGGTCTACAGTTAGCCAAGTGCTCCATTTCAAAAACAGTGGCAACATGATATCAAGTATGACTTTTAACAATTTCCTATTAAAAAGAAAACACATGCAAGTATATTAAGAAGGGGTACCATTATTTTAGTAAAAAAAAAAAATTACAGTCCAAACTATTATATGGCTGCAAATTAATTTTCAAATCTCTATTTAAACCATTAATTTCCAAATCTTTTAGATGCCAAAAAACCTAAACATGAGCTCCTTTGTATTTGCTTTGAGTTTCTGTATGTTGTGATAAGTCAGCAAAGTATTATATTAAGTGTTAATGTGGCACGACATAGAGGGTTCCTATGACCCTCTCTAAAATGCAAACTTCCTGGGGGTGGGAAGAAATAAACAAATGAAGCTTCATCTATGAAGCTGCCCTGGGAGCCCCTTACACCTTGCAACTTGCTTTCTTTGTCTCATTGTACCAATCTTTAGCGTACATTAAGGACTTGACATATACAAAGTACAGCCGGGAATGGAGGCTAGTTAGGTCTGGAGGCATATTTGAGCTCAAAGAGTAGATACCATGAGCAATGCTCACCCTCCCGAGGTGAAAAAAAATTATGGACAAAAAGTTATTGAAATTAAATTGCAGCAGACATGGCCAAGGAATACTACAGGGATTTGATCCCTTTATGAATCTTGTGATAGATGAATGTTTGGAGATGGCGACCAGTGGGCAACAGAGCACTGTTGGAATGGAGGAGATGCCAGAAAATAGCATCATCATGTCAGAAGCCTTGGGACGATATAGGCAGTGGCTGTGTTCGCCAGAGAAATTAGCTGCTTCTACATATCCCCTCTCCAGCATTTTTATCATGATATAAAAATTGGGTTATGTACATTTTCCTATTGAACTTTTCTGTTAAATGAACTTTTGTAATGATAAAAAATACACAAAACATAAAAGCACACTTTCTGCAACCATAGTTCTTAAACAAGCTATTATGCCACCTGAATTTAGATTAAGCAAGAACTGTCAGTCTCTATATTTATGAATTTAAGCAGGCTCTCCACAGCACTCTGAAGCTTAAAACTCATATTCTTAAGAGTCCCAATTTCAAAACATACGCTTTCAAATGTTTCCTAGAATAACAAATAATGCCAGTCACAGCTGGAGTCAAGGGAGACTCCGTGGTTGCAGTAACTCCTTGGTTTTTGTTTTGTTTCAGATATGTAATGACCATATGCTTTTTTTTTTTTTTCATAAGATGGGAGAAAAATCTTTAAGAAATACTTTAGAACTACTGAGGATTATCAATGCTACTTTTTGACTAAAGAGGCAAAAGAAATACCTTAATCTCTATTCCAATTGTACCCCTACACCTCCCTCCCACCCTCAGCACTCACTGTTACACTGGTCACATGCGTAGATTCTCCCTTCCAGGGCCTCTGTCTCTGTGAACTTGGCCAGCATCTCGGTGAGCAGGCACTCTGTCTGATTCAAAGGGACAAATCCCTTTTCTATGCAATGATAGCGTTCAGGGAATTCCAGGGACAGATCCCAAAAGGGTTCAATGGTATTGGATTTGTAATTGCATGATACACATGTGACCTAGAATGCAAAGATTTACAGGTTATAGAACGTTTGTGCTTCCCACATACATCCACTCACTTTATATTAAAAAATGAACTAAAATTAGGTGTGTAGTTTTCACACACACAAAATGAAAACTAATAATAAATATAACTAATAAAGAGAAATACATCCCCTTATTTCTGGCAAATATTTCTAACTATGTTGTGCTAGCTGGAACTAGAAAATCATGCAGTAGAGATTACTCCCTAGCCCATTCTCTCCTCTCCCACAGCACGGCCTGCCCTTTAGGCTGCAAGTAATTGTGGAGTCAGTTATTCAAGGAATTTGGCTGAGAATGTGAAGATCCATCTGCTTTTCATATCCTCACTCCTTCCTCTTCCAGACTGCTCCTTCCATCCAGTCCAACTTGCCTCTCTTCTGGCCCTTGTTTTTTGCATCACCCCTAGACTTGTATCTGCACAGCCTCAAAGCACAGTCAGGTTTCTCAATGATCTTGTGGTCAGTGACAGCATATACAATGGAGATCCCAACAGGCTTTACCATATAGCATAGGCATATAAAAGGTTGCCATCTAGGTTTGTCTAATTATACTTTTTGGTATTTGAGATATTACAAAGTCACGTTACGATGCAGTTCTGAATCTAGTCCTGTGGGGGATGGACACAGGCTGTACCTGGCAATTAGGCCATCTCTCCCACTGTAATATTCCCAGATGCTCCTTTCTGCCTATGGAATCTGAGCAAGCTCAGGAAGTGCCTATAAATACTTCCCTTTCAGTTCGGAAAAAGCAAATCTTTCTCTTTCTGTCCTACCCATCATTCTTTTAAAACACTAAGTACCAAGACATAAACCTCCAGTAGCATAATACAGAGGCTTATTATCTGAAATCTTACAATCTCACTTTTTCTGTTAATTCTAGAAAATCTTTTCCTGAATTATCTCACAAAGGTTATCAATAAATCTTTGTTTATGTCCCTCCCTACACAGCTAAAGATTCAGGAAATGCAAAGTAATCGGGAGTAAGGAGCAGGCCTGTTAAGCCTTTAGCATCATCCTAGGCATTGTGGCCCCCTTCCTTCTGTGGGTGTAAAGAAAGCTCTTTGAAACTACTGTGTAACCAGGGTTATAGGTAAAGCATTCAATTTCCAAAAAGTGATCAAAGGGTGGCATGCCAACAATGGGTTCTTAGTTGTTACTCAAGTGTATCATTCATATCACCATAAGGTTAAGGATGTTCACTGACCATGAAGCGATACAAGTAAAACTAAAATCTGCCCAGAAGGAGACCTAGTCAAGATCACCAACAAAGCCACCACATCATACAGTGCAATGAAAGGCACAGTGGCTGCTCCCAGATAAGCAAACTTACAGTAAATGTTAGCTATGCTAGTTGGCACCCACAGGAAGCCAACCCTTAATAATACAAGCCTCCCTCAATATGGTGATGGGCAGATTTGGGGTTAGGGTGGGTACACACCTACCTGGCTGAGTAACTGCCCATGAAATATGGTATTCACCACCTTTAAGACCTGTTTGGTGAGCTTTCTCTGGGAGAAGGGGATGAGGATGCGGCGGGTGGTACCCTCAGACTCGAGTTCCTGCTGCACTTTGTGCAACAGTTCGCAGAGAAATTCCTGTGCGTCCTGCTGGTCGTAGCCACGGAAGGCGGGGATCAAACTCCACACGGAGTGAAGCATGGCAAAGGGTGACACCAGGGCCCACTTCCCGGACCACATGACTCGGAAGAGGGTGTGCAGCTCGTGACAGAGGGAAATGTGCTTCGAGCTTGGCTCCTTGTTCTGGATGAGTTCTAGACTCCTGCTGATGGATGTGCCCCCGTTCAAGCAGAGGCCCTCTCGCGCACAGGCCTCACCCCTGTCGCTCCTGGCAGACAGCTCGGTGGCAGAGCTGCTGGTGGGCCTGCCAGCAAGTGGAGCCTTCCCGTTGGTGGCTTTGGAAAACAGTTGTTCGGTCTGCGAAGGGTCGAGGTTCAGAAAACACTCTCGGAACTTCTGGAGATGACTGAGCACCTGAAGGATGGAGTTCATGTAGCAGGTGTTGCCCAGGTTGCGCAGGCCCGTGACGCCTGGCGCCACCGCGGGCACGCGCCTCTGCTTGAGGCGGCCCACGGCGGGGCCCGGGGGCGAGGCGGGGCGCAGGGTTGCGGCGCGCGGCGCGTGTAGCAGCAGGCGCGCACTCTTGCGCGGAGGGGCGCTGGCCAGCTCCTCCAGCAGCCGCCGCTTCACCTCGCGCCGCCGCTGCCGAGCCTCCTCCTTCTTCCGCTCCAGCGCCTCCTCCTGCCGCCGCTGCTCCAGCTTAGCCTGGCCCCGGGAGCTCTTCTCAAACCAGAGCCGCAGTGTTTTGGCCAGCAGGCGCTGGCGCCGGTACCACAGCGCTGTGAGCATCTGCGGCTGTCCCTGAGCAGTGCGTAGTGGCCGGATCGTGTCCTCTCCCGATGCCATGGAGCGCAGCGTCCGCCCCCGCCTCACCGGCGGGTTCTGCTTGTGGCCCCTGACTGCCAGGAGGGAGCTTCTCAGCAGCTTCAGGTCTCCCTCTGGGTTGTCGTTGAGCACGTAGTCCTTGCACAGGTAACAGAAAACGTAGAGATCCCGGACCTCCATGGCTAGCGGGTGTCCAGTCTCTTCAAAGTGTTTAAGAGCGTGATCTTCAATGTAGCGGCCGCAGGCCACGTGAGAGCACTTGAGGCAAGCCCACACGGACTCAGTGGTTGAGCACTCCCTGCAGCACCACTTCTGAGGGTTCAGGATGGAGTGGTCCTGGGCGAGCCGCAACCGCCCTACATGTTTGCATCTATCCATGTCTTATTGAAGTCTCCACTCTTTCAACCTGGCATGACAGAACCCCCCCAAAGAGAGAAAACTTTCAGTAAAGTATTTTCTCAGAAAAGGGTTTGCAATGGGCATTTTCAACTGAATATGCATTACGTTTCAATTCAACATTTGTTCATTTGGAAGAAAGTTAAAAAAGAAAAGCAAATTTGGTATATAGACTGGCATAGACAATTATGGGAGGACAGCTAAATTCCTTTAAAATGAAGAATTATAAAATACAAGAGGACTTTAGTAACAATTTATAACTACATTTCCTCAGCCTGTTTTCATTCTTGAATATCAGTTAAGTTTTATGTGAGGCTGATTTGTGTTTCTTAGGAAATGTCACTACTCTTACTTTACGTTGCACTAACTGGTCATGGTGGGGGCAGGCAGGGAAAGTGTATATTCTAACCCGTGTCTGAACTGATGATGCCCTGAAAGTGAAGGCCTGTGTCTCATACTGATCAGGCTCCTGATTGTGTGCAGAAAGGGACAGGGGGGAGGAAGGGGGAACAAAAGTGGTATTACAAACTACTAGTAGAAGAAATGAAGACTCTCAAATCAAAAGGCAATCTAAGGTTGCTTTCAATGTTATTTCAAAACAGAGATAAAAAGATAACAGAGATCAAAGGTAAGAAAGAGAAAGCCTCGACAGTATAAAGTGTCATTTTTATTAAGTCCAGAGAACCTGGGCTTCAATCTAAATCATTCTTGATATATGTCTGCTAAGGCCTAAATGTTTATATACAAAATTCATATGCTAAATTTTTATCCACCAAGACAGAAGGTGGGAGATGATTCCATCATGAATGGGATGGGATGAGCCCTCACGAGTGGGCCTCATAAAAGAGCTTATAAAAGAGCCTTATAAAAGAGCTCCTTCACCCCTCTGCCATGTGAGGACACAGCAAAAAGCTGGAAAGCCATGTGGCTCCCAACCAGAAAGTCAACCAGATATGGAGTCTGGTGCCATCTTGAGCTTCCAGTCTCCAGAACTGTGCGAAATAAATGCTTGTTTACAAGTCACCTAACTCATGGCATCCTTGAGGAACTAAGACCATGTCTTTTTAAAAAGAACACTTATATTTTGTAGAAAGGGTAGGAAAGCTTTTACCTTCTTTACTGAAAAATTAAGTAAGTAGAGAACAGATCTAACTCTCAGAACAAGAAAGAGTTCTTACTAAGACAAGGAAAAAAAAAAACAAATCTTCCAGATGACATATGTGGAAATGGTTTTTAAAACAAGCATACTGAGTTTTTTTCTTTCTTTTTTCTTTCTCCCCAACATTGCTTCTTCAATGTTGTTCATCACAGAGACAATGAAAAAATTTTCTAAGGGAATAGAAGCTAGACAACTACTTTGAAAGTTTTTTTTTTTTAAGTTCATTGGAAACCTGATACTTAAAAAAATCTCTTTAAAATTCCCCCAAAGTAGTTCTTATAAAGTGAGCCTTTGCCCCTCCATTTCCTCCTTTTCATTTCTGTGAGTAATTTCATTTCTGTTATGCAGCCACCCAGAGAATTTCTAAGCCCAATGCATTGAGTAGTCCCTTAAATTGGCTTTCCAGACTCCTTTTTGGGATTGGTTCTATTGCCAAAACCACAGGACCAAATCAGTTGTCCCTTCCATTTCTTATTGCCCAAGCTGGGTGGCAGAAGTGTTGTCCTTATTTAAGAAAGCTTTCTATCATACAAAGGAAAGCTAGCTAGGTTACCTTCAATCAAGCTACACCATGCTCTTTCTTTGAATATTGACAGGATTTTTTGGGAACTATATTATTTTTGTAATTGTTGTTCCATGCTAAGTGCCCTTTAAGTGACTTTTCTGTTTTCCTAACTAGATATAATCTCCTTAACATAGGGGATTCTGTGTTATGTGTCTTTTTAAAAAAATTCCTTTGTAATTCTTAGTCTTGGAGGTAATTAACCCCTAACAGTCAAAAGTATTCTTCCAGAATTAGTCTCACACAGTGTAGAACAGTACAAAATTACCCCTATCTGTTTACTCTTTGTAGGGCACAGCCAAATCAAAACACACACATGGAGATGACACAGTAAATCAAAGAATTTTCTTTTTGCTGGTTTATTACACCAATCAAGAATTCAGGTTGTATATCCATGATGCTTACAACCAATTACTAGGGACACAAAAGAAAGTAATGAAAGAATGAAGGGGGTTAAAAAACAAGAGATGGGCAATTCCCAAGTTTCTATTAAATTAGTACTTTCCACAATGCAATCCCTGAGCCACCTGCCAGCATCAGCATTCACTCAGATATTTACTGTAGGAACAGATTTCCTGGTCACAACTCTAAATGAAATGAAAAACGGATTTGGGAGAGTTTTGAAAATCTGCATTTTAAATAAGCCCCACAGAGGATTCACTTGTACATTAAAATCTTAGACCCACTGCACTAACCCAGTAAATTACATAGGGATGAAAAAATCATCATAGAACTCAAAGAAAGAACTTTATTACTCAAATTCTTCCACTTAGACATTATCCAATTAAATTTTCTGCAATGATGGCAATATTATTTTTCTGCACTGTCAAATAATGTATTAACTAGCAGCTACATGTTTACTGAACACTTGTACTGTGGCTAGTGAGATTCAGTGGCTGAACTTTCAATTTTATTCTGTTTTAATTAGTCTTAATTAAAGTGGCCACATGTGCCTAGTGTTTGCAGCACTAGATAATACAAACTAAATACACCAGGATACACTTTTTTTTTTAGTCCATAATGTCCACTTTTATATTAGAAATAGAATTTTTACATGACAAGAACATATAGGTCCTCTATATTAAAAACCTAATAATTTAAGTGAAGTGAAAAATAGTATCAATTGAGAAGATCTTAAAAACATACCAATTTCAAAGGATACTTTTTTTTTTCCCAGTAAACCATTTTATGGTATAAGAGGTATCTGATATAAAGAGAATTGCCACTATATTATAAAAAATATGTGAGACACAATAAACTTATCTACTTTTCTTTCCAGATTACCTCTAAGACCAAAGAAGTAAAGATAACTAAATGTTAGAAATCTAACAGCAAGTTTAGTTTTGAACATTAAATCAGGATTTATTGTTACAGCAATAATTTTATGCAAACACTAAGTATTCTTTTTGTACAAGTGAGAGAGTGAACAAGTTTTCTATTTTTTTTTTTAAAGATTTATTAGTGCATACAGAACTGGGGTACAGGCCAGAGGCTCAGAGGCGGCGAGAGGCTTTACCAGAGACAGAGTGGGGAGCAGAAAAAGCAGATCTACGAAGTACACTGCTGAGGGGAGCAGCGGGCGGGCCAGGAGAGGTTTGCCACACCATGTGGTCACCTCCGGGGCTGTCAGGGATCAAACTCATGCGGAGGTGGCTTTAGCTTCTCAGTGCTGTGCTTTAACCCGCTGCGCCACCAGGGAGGGCCAAGTTTTCTATTTTTTTTCTAAACATCTTTTACATTGAAGCAAAAATAGCTAGCTATCTCATTTAAATCTTGTGCTTCTTTTTTCCCTTTTGCCTTGAAGATTCTTTTAAAAAAGAGATTTCAAATAACAATAACTAATTTGGGTTATTTGCACTGCCACAGATTTAATTTAACTGAGTTACAAAATTAAAGGGAAAAAATAGGCAAAAAGGTACCCAGGTAAACAGTATTGGGCAAAAAGACAAATGTAAGGGAAATATTTTTTCCCCCCAGAACATAAAATTAAGTTCAGAAAAGCTTTTTCAATAGCCTGAAGACTGTTCATGGTCAAATTTCATGAAAAATAATCAAATCCTTTCTCACAATTGAAAGTTGCACATGAACATAAAGATCAAATATCATGTTCAAAAAATACGAAATGTTATTTGGAGTGCAAATGTGAAAACAAGAGAGGACTCCATGAGAAAAGCTGCCTATTAAGGAAGTAGTCATATTTATTTCAAAACAGCTAAGGCTTCTTTTTCCCAGGTATATGCAGGCAATAACCCACGCCATGAGATTCTTTCCTTTTTGAAACACTCTCTTCACTTGGCTTGCAGCACAACAGTCTCTTGATTTTTCTTCTAGCTCAGTTGGTGTGTCCCTCTGAGTCTTTTTCAGGCTTCTTAATCTTGGCATACTCTAGGCTCAGTCTTTTCCCATCTTTTTTAGCTATACTAAATGATCTCATCCAATGCCACGGTTATTCATTAATGACTCCCAAATTAATCTTTGCAGTTTCAATTTGTACCTTGAAAAATAAGACTTGAGTATCCAATTGCCTAGTCAGCATCTCCACCTAATGTAGGGGGAAAAAAACACCTTTCTGATTCCACACTCCTCTACTAAATCTGTTCCTCCTCCATTACACCTCATCTCTGCACCCCAGAATTTACCCAGTTGCTCAAAACCCTAGAAGTTACCCTTTATTCCTCTCTTTCCCTCACCTTTTATCTGGACTATCAGTAACCTGCCCACCTTCTCTATCTTTAAAACAGCCTGAATACACGTATGTGGCCACCTCCCTAGCATCTACCATAACGTAGTATAAGACTCTTGCTCACAACACTAATAAACTAACTAGTCTCTGCTCTTACTCTTCATCCTCTTCTGTCTAAACTTCACACTGCAGGGTCCTCCCTGATGGTACAACTGGTTGTAGTGCAGCACTCTGAGGCTAGACGCAGCGACTGCAGCACGAGTTTACTTCCCAGCCAGTGAGCTGACCCACATGGCGAGGCAGACCTCTCCTGACCTGCCCGCTGCTCCCCTCAGCAGTGTACTTCGTCAGTTGGCCTGTTCTGCTCCCCACTCTGTCTCTGGTGAATCTTCTCACCCCCTGCACTTCTGGCCGGTACCCAGCTCTTGTATACATAAAATAAATAAATCTGAAAAAAAAATTAACTTCACACTGCAGCTCCATACAGGTCAGCCAAATTATGCTGTTCCTCCATTCCTAATCCTTCCAGTGGGTTCCCATTACATATCCATGCCAACGTAAGTAAGACCTTTAGGAAC